CCGAGTAAGTCGGGCTGCCCGGGGACCCTTGGGGCACGCCCGGGGAACGCCTCTTGTCCTTCCCAGAGGGTGGGTCCGCGGCGCCGGTGTGACAGCCCGCGGTGACTGTCCTCGCCTGCAGGGTGGACCACTGGAACAACGAGAAGGAGCGGCTAGTGCTGGTGACCGACCAGTCGCTGCTCGTGTGTAAATACGACTTCATCAGCCTCCAGTGCCAGCAGGTGGTCAGGGTGGCGCTCAGCGCTGTGGACACGATCTCCTACGGTGAATTCCAGTTCCCCCCGAAGTCCCTCAACAAGTAAGTGCGTTCTGAGAATCCAGGACCAGCGGATCTTATTATCCAGCCCTTTCAACCCCGTCTCCTGGTGATGGTCTTGTGTCTGCTTCATGTGTAAGCTCAGAAGCTTAGCTTCAAAGATAATGGAAAGTGATCATTTCTTAAAATAGAAGGAAGTGGCTGCTGGCCAAGGAATGGCACTAAAGGATTCTGGTACAAAAGACAGCTATAAAAGCAGCAGTAAAAAGCGTTCACGTGGGTTCCAGATATGTTGAGGTGGAGCCAATGTGTTAAAAGCAAACTGGATGTCTCTCTCATAAGGGCATTAAATCTCTAGCCCAGAAAGGATCACATGGTCTCATTGAGTCTCTTTCTGGTTTATTCTTAAGAGAAAAAGGTAGTGATCTCTGTCGTTTACAGCTAGCACTAAAGGTCATGTATGTTTGAAAATAATGATCAGCTTTCAAGAGTCGATCACCTTTTGTTTTTTCAAGGAGGACAGGTTTATTTTGTAGAGGTTTCAATCCATAGTCCATTGGCTCCAAAGTAGGACATCAAGCCATCAGGGCCTGGCAGAAGAACACACCCTCATGGCAAGGCTGCAGGAAGCAGAGAGAGAGGTCATGGGAGAAGCCAGGGAGCTCCATCCCTCCAGGCTTTGCTGAGTGGGGGCCTCCTCCCACCAGTCCTCTCTCTCATCAGTGGACTCATCCAGTCACCTCCCAATGATCCCATGAGGCTTTGCAGGGTATATCTGGATAGAAACCACATCGTTCCATTCCTCGCACCTAAAAGACACATGCTCATCTCTATGGAAAATGTATTTAGTTCATCTGTAAGGATTGCCAAACCCTGGCAGTTCCAGCGTAACAGTTCCGAGCCCAAAATCTCTGAATTTTAAAGCAAACTCTTTTACTATCAGCTCCTTTAAAAAATTAAAAAAAAAAAAAAATTGGCCCAGTGGATGAGGCCGTTACTGGCAGCACCCAGAGAAGAACAAAGTAAGTCATGTCCCAGCTGCTGCAGTACCGGGAAGCCTGACAACATCTACAGCCACTGCCCCTCCTGGGAACCATGACCTCTGTCTTTCCAAATTTCTCAAGGAAATACTCATGCCTCATCCCTTTAAATTCTTTGTTCTCTGCCTGCTCTATGCCGAGTTCCTGTTTCACTGACTCAGCCTGCTTGTGCACTGGTTCGCAAGTGAATAAACAGCGTACTAACTTCACAAGGCCTGCTGTGAGTGGTCTAGGCCCCTCCACACCTGACACCCACAACTTAGAGGTTTGTTTGGCTCAGTTTGTAGAGGTTTCAGCTTGTAGTCCACTGGCTCCAAGGCAGAGTGGCACGGCAGAGGGACACACAGGAAAGTGCCTTCTTGAGTGAGGTGTATGACAGCGTCTCCCTGTGTAGTCCAGGCTGGTCTCAGACTTGTGGCAATCCTCCTCCCACAGATCCTGAGTTGGGATTACAGGTTTACGCCACCATGCCTGCCATTTGATTATCTTGATTTAAAAGAATTTTTTGAAATGTAAAAAGGCTAGACATGAGAATAGTCAAACTAAATTTCAGAGATCTGTTGTTAAGGTTTGGACAGGAAACATCTATTTGCTTCCCATCACTATGACAAAATACCTAAGGTCAGTGGAGGAGGAGACACTTTATTTGGGCTCAGTTTCTGAGGCTTAAGTCCATGGTTGCTCGGGGGCGTTGCTTTGGGTCTGTAGGGAGGCAGAGCCTGTCTTGTCCGGGACAAACTCCCAGTGAGCTGATTTCCTTCTGCTAGGCCCTCCCTCCAGGTCACAGCACCTGGCAATAGCACCAGCAGCTGAGACCATGCCTTCAGCACATGAATTCAGGTCACAGTTAGGATCCAGACCACACTGATGAGTGTAAGTTTTGAGTGGTATTTAATAGGGTTATTAATAGGATGAAAACATGAGTCATTGGACTAGGTTATCTACTCAGGGTTCTCATGAATTTTAATAGGCATGTAAAGGTGAAGTTAGTGTAACCAAGACAATGTATTTGTCATATTTAAAACTTGTGATCTCAGTACTCACAAGGTGGAGGCAGGTTATGAGTTCAAGACCAGCCTGAGCTAGATACCGAGTTCCAAGCCTTCCTGGACTGCACAATGAGACCTTGTCTCGGGTGGATAGATGGACGGTCAGGTGAGTGGTATTTAAAGCACTTGTTAGTAGAGACCATCATCGCCATTGAAACTGGGGACCTTTATGCACTGGGAAATGGCCCAGGGCTTTGCCTGCACACAGAGCTACCAGGGCTGGCATATCCTCACACCTGTGTTCACCTGGCCCTCTCCTCATCAGGCGAGAAGGCTGTGGGGTCCGCATTCAGTGGGACAGGCAGAGTCGTCCTTCCTTCATAAACAGATGGAACCCCTGGTCCACCAACTTACCCTATGCCACTTTCATCGAGCACCCTATGGCTGGTGTGGATGAGAAGACAGCAACTCTGTGCCACGTAAGTAGTCCCTGGGCATTGGCACCATTGTGTGCCGCTGGGGATGAAGGGTCCCGGTGGCCAGGTGCGGCTGAGCCCTTGAGATGGGTGACTAATGATGTGGAAATGGGCTCATGACACTGGTGAGCGGCTGCTGGTCACCGGGGTTCCCTGACAGTCCTTGGGGCCAGGCCCTAGGAAAAGCATCACAGAGGGCAGCAAGGGACAGCCGCTGCCCTGGGGTCCTGACGGGGGCTGGGCAGATGACCATGGTGGAAACACTGAGTCCTGTAGATGGTGAGCGCCCTGGCGAGTGGTAGGGTGCCAGCACGCTTCCCAGAGAGCTCCTCAGACTGCCCAGTGTGGTACAGGCGCCACTCATAGGAGGACACTCGACTGGGCAGGAGTCATCGCTGCTGTCCAGTGTGGCATTCTTGTAGGACAGCAGTGCAAATCTCTTTAGAGACCAAGTGCCAGACATAACCCAAAGCCCACTCGTGTATCACAGGGCTCCAGTTCTCCCTGAGGACTGAGGCTTTGGCTGAAAAAGAATAGCTGCTGCATTAGCGTCTTTCGTCTTAAACAGTCAGTCACATGCGTGCTGTCAGTGTGCTACCACTGCCACAGATAATAGAGCCCAGCGATTCCTGCCGCCTCGTGATGTCCCAGTTCCCTGAACGTTGTCACACAGCGAGTCGTGTCCCTCACCGCTGGGGACGCTGCTGGTGTGAGCTCACCTCTGCCACCACAGGAAAGCATGGCGTGTGCAGTCAGCACCGCTCTGAGATGACAGCAAGTGCGCCTCGTGTGTACCTGTCACCATATTTACGGTCCCCTGCTAGTGATGGATCCAGCCATCTGGGGGTGTGCAAGTACACGCTGGTGTGCACATGCATGTGAGATGAGCATGTCATTGTCATGAAGTGATACTTGACTGGGTGTGGACGGGCAGGGTAGATGTCCCAGGGTGCTGGTTTCCCCTTCTTTTGCCTGAAGGCTGAGTCTTCGCTCTCTCTCCAGCTGGAAAGCTTCAGGGCTCTGTTGATCCAAGCTGTCAAAAAGGCGCAGAAGGAAAGCCCTTTGCCCGGCCAGGCGAGCAGTGTGCTGGTCTTGGAGCGCCCTCTCCTCATCGAGACCTATGTGGGACTGATGTCCTTCATCAACAACGAGGCCAAGCTGGGATACTCCATGACCCGGGGCAAAATTGGCTTCTAGACCACTGTGCCCAGCTGTGCGGATTGGGGCTGGGGGCTGGGTGCGGTCCCTGCAGCGCGGTGAACCCCTGGGTGGTGGGATGCAGACCCCGATGTTGGGGCAACAGACAAGGCAGGCAGACCTAGCTGTCTGTGCCTCTGGCTCCTTCTGCCCCCTGCCTGTTGGCCTTCATTGTCCCTGTGTGGTTTCTCCTGGTCCCTGCTGCACCCCTCCAGCACGCCCAGCCCCTGGCCACATCTGCCCCATGTGTGGACGCCTGGATGGGGCCAGGAGCTGGTGTCTCCACACCACACCTGTGCACACGTTTACACTCGGTGTCAAATTTTGTATTTTGAAACTTAATCCTTTTTTTTTTTTTTTTTTTTTTTTAAGCTAAACAAGCAGCCAGCAGACTGGCCTCAGCACAAGACACAGTCTTGTGCCTTGTCAACCCCTCGGGAACAGCTCTTTTGTAAAAATGTATGATCTCAAGTCATACTTTCTAGAGTTGCCCCAGTTGTGTCAGTTCTTGGGCATCTTCCCCGGCCCACAGGGTCTACAGCATTTACAGTTTTATCAGTTTCAGCAAAGTCACCCTGATAACTCTTTGCGCACAATTTTGACAGCTGTCTGGACCCTAAGTTTGTGTTATTCTATTCCTGTTTAAAGGGGAACTGGGTAGCTTGCTTTTTAAAGAATGCACTTTAAGAAAACCATAAGACCCCGGACTGGCTGTGATTCCTGCAGACCCCATGCATCCACAGCTGCTCAAAGCTCCTGCCTCCAGTCGTGTGGCTGCAGCACCTGTCATAAACTAACTGCTGGCTCCTTGGTTTCTCTTCATTTTCAGCTGCTGTAGCTTTAAGCTGCCTGGCACAGATGTGATCAGGATGCCATGGCCTGTCAAAGGCTGCCTGAGTGCCCTGGCCTTCAGCCTGTGCTCTGTCTTGTAGTAAAGACGTTTAGAACCAAAAGGATGTTGTTCCTTTCTGAAGTTATCACTAAAAGACACAGCAGTGACCAAGAAAGCAGCTATCTCAGGGCCCAGTCCCCTCACTCTGCAGGGGTGGGAAACAGTCCTGACTCCCACCCTTGATGCCCACCAGGCAGAGTGGCCAGGACGGGGCTCCTGGCAGAACCTGCTTATGGGGCTGGGCCTGTCTGAAGGTTCTTGGGGCTCCCTTTCTGCCTGGAGGCTGGCATGCCCCACAGAAAGCTACCACCCTTCCTGAATGTCCAGTGAGGATGGATGGTCACTGTTGACCAGGAGGTAGGCTGGTCATTTCAGATCTTGAGGCTGTCAACATTTTATAAATTAGCAACAATTTATTTTAATGAAAATTACAGCTTACTACCATACATATTTACAAAATTGGCTAAATAGAAAAATAGAATCCAATAGAGAATCTGTCCCAAGGTGGCTGCAGGTGCCTTCCCGATGTCGGGGGTGTGCCGGGTGCTGTGCCTTGGCAGCCTCACAAGTCCTAAGCGTGGCCATCCCACTGTCCTACAGCTGCCCCGATACCCTCCTTGGTCTCCAGGAAACAGAGGCAGAAGTGATCCTTACTGAGGAGGGCCAAGGAGTCTCCGCTTGGATGCCAGCAAAGAGAAAGCACTGGGAAATCACCTGGGGAGAGGTGGCCAGAGGGTCAGGGCAGAGGGGCTGGGGTCCCCTGGGAAGGCAGCCTGCATGATGAGGTGGGGGACTGGTGACCCAGGGGCACAGCTGGGTGGAGCCCAATGCCACCTGGAGCTGGGCCCTGGCTTCCGTGTGTGGGGTGTGTGTGGGTGTGTGTGTGTGTACACACATTCCTGCATGGATGCACTCACCTTCCCCGGGTGTGTGTGTGTAGTACATACCTGCACGGATGCACTCACCTTCCCCGGGCACCTGCACTGACACACAGCCAGCCGGTGACCACAGGTAGACCTTGCCGCCCCCTGTGCAGATGGCCAGCCGTGGCTGCTGTGGGTCCCACTGGAAGGAGCGCACCGGGGACAGCTGTTCGAGCACCACAAAGAGCCTCAGCTTCTGAATGTCCCAGACCCAAACAGCATTGGGAACATTGTCTGGGAAGGAAAGGAGAGGGAGGAGGGCACTGTCACCATGGGCTCTGGCCAGCCCCACCTCTGGAGAGCCATGGGAAGAAGCTGCAGATGAGCCCCCAAGCTGTGGCCCTGAGCTTTCTCTGCTTGCTAAATCTGTACAGCGTTGCCAAACATTTTAAGACAAAAAGGCCCCAGGGAGGGCTCTCTGCCCGGATCCTGCACCTTCTTGAGGAAGAGAGAGGTGACTGCCCACAGAGCTCCTGAGGTGGGGCACAGGCTGCTCCTGGGTGTCAACATGGCCCACAGCCCAGGGAGTGGGCAGTGCAGTGCCAGCAGCCAGGGCACTGACCGTTCCTTGTTGCCAGGAAGTAGCTGTCAGCACTGAAGGCCATCATCCCTACGCCCATCCTGGGGTTGGCCCTGTCAGTGGCTGGCTTCAGGGTCTGCAGGGTGATGGGCACAGAGGCGACCTCATCTGCAATGGCAGAGGACACACTGGGTCACCAGAAGTGGCTCAGGCAGGGGCCAGCACCCAGGCTTCCCAGCCCCTTCCAGAGGGGACCTGTGCTGACAGCGGGGCCTGTGGGGAGCAGTGCTGTGGTGCCAGGCTGCCCTCCAGCCCTGGGTGCCAGGCTAGCCGGAGGGCACAGGTAGGTGGGCCAGCATCAGCTTCGGCGGTCCCACAGGCCTTCAGCTCTTGTCCCCTCTGACGTTCTGGCCTCAGGTTCTTGGGGCAGCAGACAAGCTGGGAGGCTCCACAGGGCCAGGCACCCTCTCTGCACCAACCGACGGCTAGCTGCTGTGCCCACACATCTCTGCTGAGGCCCTCATGTCCCCAGGGGACAGGTGCCATCCCTGTGCCCACTACAGGGACAGAGGAACAGGGAGACAGGCACAGATTGCTTGCCCCTAGGCTCTGCACTCCAGGCCCCAAGGCTCGCTCCGGGCTGTGTATTCAGGTAGAAATGCTCCTCCGCTGCATCACACCACACTGCCCATGACACAGCACAGGAAGCAAATGCAGGCATGACCGACGTGGAAACTCACTTGGATGCAGAGGTGTATTTTTCATTAAGTGAGAAAGGAGGGGGTGAAGGAAGGAAGGTGTGGCTAGTGTGGCAGAGCCCAGTGGGGCGCACAACCCCAGGACCCCAGAAACAGGCCAGTGGCAGCAGCTTACATCTGCTCTCTGCAGTGGTGAGAGGACGGGTGCCTGCTCGGGACGGTGGGAAGGGCAGGTGGCCCAGGGCCAGCAACGGGGTCTTCTCTGTTTCCTTGTACACAACCTGAAAGACAGGGCAGCCACCAAACAGTTCCTGACAGGGACTGAGGAAGCAGGGCCACGCCACAGCCCAGCAGGGAGAGGCCCTGGGTGGCACAGAGGCAGGAGGTCCCGGGGCCACCTCCTCTTCCTCCACTTCCCAGCAGGTGCTCCCACCCACCACAGGCAAGAGACCGAGCCTAAGTGAGCCTTTCCTCCTCCAGCTGCTCACCAGCATTGTCGCAGCCATGGAATCCCATGCCCGGCCCTGCTCACAATGTAGCGTGGTGTGGGCTGCAGGCGGAGCCCAGAAGCTGTGGCCTGGCCTGCCCTGCACCACCTGCCCCAGTTCCCATCCTCTCTCAGCATCACCTCTGAAGGACCTGCCTGCAGCCTGGCCCCACTGAGCACGGGGCTCTGCTCCTGCCATTCCGATCCTGGCACGTGGCGGCGATGGTGAATGCTGCTCCCCAGGGACCTGGTGCCTCTTGTTCCCTGGCCCTAAAATGCTGCCTCGCTTGAGTTGGAGACACCTAGCTCCCAGCCCTTCCCTGCCTGTCCCATCCACTCTTCTCTGGCTGAGACCCAGGGCCCAGCAAGGGGAAGATGCTCAGTGTTTGGGGCAGGCAGGGCCTGGTCTCTGCCTTTTAATACAAGGGTCTACTGTGGGACAGACAGAGTGTGACACCTGGCTAGGGATGGGGGCAAAGTAAGAGTCTATGAGTGGTATGACAGGAAATATAAACTGGGCACAGTGGTGCACGCCTGTAATCCCAGCACCTCAGAAGATCACCAGGAGTTCAAGGCCACTGTGTGCCACAGAGTGAGTTCAGGGCCAGCCTGAGCTATGTGAGACCTTGCCTCAAAACAGAAGACAGACAAGACCATGGGTGGGGCCTGGCACTGAGATGTCTTAATGTCTTATCAGCAGAGTGTGCAGAAAGTGACATCACAGTGGCCGCTGTGAATGATGCGCAGCTCCCACCCACCCCTAAGCGGAGCAGAAGTGTGCTGTGCTTCAGACTTACTGTCTTGGGGCTGTGAATGGCTGCAGGATGCCCAAACTCCGTGATCATCTTCCAGGTCACATGGTTCAGGAGCCGCACCTGTGGAGGGGATGGTGGAGGCTGACGCAGGCTCAGGTGGCCCTGGGGGGCCCCCAAGCCCCTGGTCTTTCACCCACCTTTCCGTCATAGCTCCCGACTGCCAGGAACTGGCTGCTGGGGCTCCAGGCCACAGACTTGATGCCCAGGGACCACTCGTAGGCGCAGTACACGGAGAGCAGGCGGCCATCCAGAGAGTACAGCAGCATCTTGTACTGCGGACGAGACAGTGAAATGGTACCATCACCCGGCTGGGCACGGACATAGCACGGAGCCACCTCTCAGGGAGCGCCCCGAGAGCCAGAGAACGCCAGCCGCCAGTTGGTGCAGCGGGTCCCATCCCCAGCTCCAGGGAGAGTTCCGGTCATGGTCTGAAGCGAGGCAAAGCCACCCTCGCCACAGCCATAGCGCTGGGAAAATGCAGGAGGACGCCCAGAGAGCACAGGCCCTGTGGCTCATACCTCCAGGCAGGCGTCCCATGCCGCCAGTACACAGCTGTTGGGGGCCCACTCCAGGCCGGCCAGGTCCTGCGTGTCGGTGTCGAAGTGCTTCCAAAGGGGAGGGGAGAAAGACACGGGATGACTTCGAGGAATTTGCTTAAAGAAACCCTGGTTTATCTTACAATTACTGTAACACGTTCGGCACTTAACTTTCTTATGCAAAAGTGGACAAAACATCCACATCCTATCTCTATAGTGCACCCAGCCCCCCTGCACAGCACCTGTGTGCTGGCACCGAGGCTGTGCTCCCCACCCACCTGCAGCCCCAATGGGAGCCTTCCAGAGCTTTACCAACAGGCTCCGCACCTCGGCCCAGACTGACAACCCACGGCCTGCATCTGTGCCGCCTCCCTCCCAGCCCGCAGAGCAGAAAAGGGCCTACCCGCAGGAGCTGCCAATCACTGCACACAAAGATGCTCACGTAGTCCTTGCAGTCTCGCCGCTCAGCTAACGCCATGTAGCGGCCATCCCTTGTGAATGTTATTCCTGCAGCAAAGGACAGCAGAGATCAGGCCGCATCCAGATAAGAGAAAATAAGCAGTCACTTTCAAGCAAGAGTGAGAAGCCAGGCATACCTGCGATACTAGCTGATTGGAAAAGCCAAGGAGGCAGGAGGATTCCAAGTATGAGTTTAGCCTATCTCAAAGTGTAAAAAGGATTGGGGGTAGTTTGGGAGTAACAGCCCCCAGGTTCAATCCCTGGTCTACAAAACAAAAGGTAAACAACACAAATGGGAACTACTTTTCTTTTTTTCCGGGGGTTTTTGAGAGATGGACTTGCTAAGTGGCCCAGGCTGGCCTGCAACTCATGGCGATCCTCCTACCTCAGCCTACAAGTACTGGGATTACAGGTGTGCACCACCACACCCAGCTGGAACTATTTTTCTTCAGGTGAAGAAGACATTCTGCCAGAAAGCAGAAACTAAGGGACTGTAGACCATCCCCTCTCAGCAGGTGACAACGGCAGACCAGACTGCTGATTTGCCAGGAATCTGTGAATCCTCCCAAATGGGGCAGACCCCTGCTGTGTCACAGCTTTTACACAAAGAACGCAGCACCTCACCTCTCAAACTTTTAGAAACTTTTTAGAAAACAGATGACAGCAAATCCAAGAATGTTTTCAGGGAGTCAGAAGTAGGTTTGCTGCATTTCTTTGATCACTTTTGAACCTTGGCTGGAAACATTAAACTACATTTTACAGTGCGGGGGCTGGATACAAAAGCAGGAGGCTGGGGAAGTGCGAGTCCCCTGGGAGCCCCGCAGGCACAGAGTGTGAGACAGGACAAGCGAGTGTACTTCCCACCGCAGCAGCGCCCGCAGCGCCGTGGTCCACGCAGAGTCTGCAGGAGCTGGGCCCAGCCTGGCACGCTCTGCCCCCACAGTCCACTTCCTTCCAGGGTCTCAGGGTCAGAGTGGGGAGGGGACCCTCGTCACTCCTTCCCCTGGGTTCCCGGATGTGCGGGGCAGTGTAGCCGACACTGAAGGGGATGACACTGAGGGGGACGCGATACCCACCAGCCGGCCAGGGCTCTTTCTGTCATGTCTCCCACAGCACCCTCCCTGGGACCTCGCTCAGGGACAGGGATGGAAACGTGCTCAGGGAAATGGCAGGGCCAGCAGATCCTGGAGGGTCCTGAAGGGCTGGGTGGTGCAAGGAGCTGCCCCTGCTGGAAACTCCAGGCCAGGAAGGTTGGAAACGCAGCCCAGCCTGAGGGAGCGCTCTGGGGACTCACCCTGCGGACAGGCTTTGGGGTACTTGATGTAGGACACGGACTTGGTGCACAGGGACCAGACCGTGATCCGCAGCTGTCGGAAGAGGGGGAGAGAAAGGCTCAGCAGGCATCAGCACCTCTGGGGAGACAGTGCCTGCGCTGCCAAGGAAGCCTCCCCAATGATGAAGGTGTCACACACTCCCTTTACCACCTTCAGTCTCTTCTTGGTCTTTGTTCTGTAACAGCATTATTTGAGCGACCCAAAGCCAACATGAGTGCGCTGTATTCACTATTTCAAAGTATCAGGGCTGGGGATTTAGCTCAGTGGTACCACCACCTACCCCGCAAGCACAAGGTCTCAAGTTCCATCCCTGGTACCCCCCAAAAAAAAAAATCAGAGTAATCAGGACTTGCAAAGCCTCAGAGTCTGTCAGGAAACATCTTCACACGGGAAAACCCACTGCTGCCTCCTCTCTGAAGCCCAGAAGCTGCTGCACAGGCATGGGTCCCACTTATACCAGTGACACCAAGGGCTCTGTGCTGCACTGCTGCTGCACAGCAAGCAGAGGCCACCACTGCCGGGGCGCCACTCCCACCCTCCCCTCCTCTCCAAAGGCCCCAGATCCCCAGGAGGGAGAGGCCGGTGGGACCTGCCCCAGGGCCCACACTGCCTGCTCTCCTGGGCCATGGACAGGGTAACCCTCCCCCCACGGGTCACCTGACACAAAGAGCAAGCACTGGGCAGGCGCAGCCTCCTCGGAAGGGTGGGGGCAGCCAAGGTACTGCAGTGTGGGAACCCTGGAAACACCACCTGCTTGTAGTTCAGAGGTTAAAAGCGAGCAACACCATCTCTCCACACCACAGGAAGCGCCTGCCCTGGCTTGGGGTGCACAGGTCCTGGGTGCGGGGTGGGGCTGCTCTCAGGGGAGCAGGAGCCAGGGCTCAGCCTGCCAGCAGCCCTGAGTTTGAACTCCACCAGGACCCGGTCACCCTTGCGGTGGCTCAGGTGCCCTCGGTGCAGGGTGCAGGGGTGTAAAGTGGGCAGCAGGGCCCTGGAGATGCCCGCCTCGGAGCTGGGCCCTGTTCCAGCCTGTGGCACCATCACCCTGGTCTCCCAGAGCTCCAGGGGCTTCTCAGAAACACAGGGCTGGAAACGGAGAGGACACAGATAGACTTCTACCCTTCACCCTCACCGGAAATAAAATACTCCACAAAACAGCTCCTCAGCGGGCCAGCGGGGCGGTGCATGCCGGTAATCCCAGCACTCCGGGAGGCTGAGCCAGCAGAACTGCAAGTTCAAGCCCAGCCTCAACATGAGAAAAAGGGCCGCATGTAGCTCCGTGGCAGAGCGTCTGCCTATGAGGTGTAAGGCTACTACAGCCCCTGCCAAGAGAGGTAAGTGTCCTCTGTGTCACCCTACTAACTTACAGGGACAACTGCACAATCAAGTCCTCCGGGCTCAGGCCTCCCTCCCAGCAACACTGGCCAGCAGACAGCAGCTCACAGAGGGCAGAGACCACACTGGGATGGATCCTACATGACACCGTTGATCAAACTTCGAAGCACAGCCTCAGAGAGAGGGAGACAGGCCAGAGGCGGTGGGAGGCAAGGGGAGGGGCAGACCGCAAGGGGCATGGGAACCGCTGTGCGGTCATGTCCTGACCATGGGGTCATGTGCAGAACAGCCCCTGAGCCACACATCGCCACCCCTGCCCTGGTTCTATTTTTAACCTAATTATGGGCTACTTACAACAACTGCACTAAAACTGAGGACACAGAAAAGAGGAAAAGCACAAGAAAAAGATGTACCATAACAGCACTCATCAAAATGACAGGCTGCTTTGCTAAATCCCATAAAGCAGGCTTTAAAATAAAAAGAATAAAAAGAAATACTTTACAATAAAAGGTCAAATTGCAATGAAAATGGGGGAAACAGTTCTAAGTCTGTATGAGGCTAATAAAATGGCCTCAAAAACACATACACTGGAGGGCTGAGGATTTAGCTCAGTGGTTCCGCCACCTGCCTTGCAAGCACAAGGTGCAGAGTTTGATCCCTGGTACAAAAAAAAAAAAGAAAGCTTATTCCAAAAACACATACATTGGGTGTGGTGGTGCACACCTGTAATCCCAGCACTCAGGAGCCAGAGGAAGGAGGATCGTTGTGTGTTCAAGGCTGCCTGGGCTACACAGTGAGCTCAAGGCCACACTGAACTGCACAGTGAGACCCCCGCCTCAAAAAAACAAAACAGGGCTGGGGATTTAGCTCAGTGGTTCTGCTGCCTGCCTCGCAAGTACAAAGACCTGAGTTCAAACAATAACAAACAAAGCATGTAAAGATCTGACAGGCTTCCGGGCAACAGAAAGAACAGAAAGGGACGAGTCCTACCACACACTGGAATATAGTTCATCAGTGTCGTACTGACACTTCACTGGACAACGGACAAAAGAACGGAAAACCGAAGTCACCCTGTGACATGGAGGGGACTCAGTGCTGGGGCAGCTGGGGGGACGGACTTCCAGACAAGCTGGTCTTCTGCTGCTGTACGTGGTCCTGCTCCTTCACAGAGTCACACACACGCCCCTTTATTATTTTTTATTTCAACACAAGATCTTCCTAAATCGCCCAGGCTGGGCTTCCAGCCCTCTGACACACGGTGCACACCCCACTCCCACCCTGGCTATTTCAGCAGCAGAGGACAAAGGACACGTGCACGCCGGGCCAGGGCAGTGGATGGAGGGCTGGCACTTACGTGGAATTCGGTTGTGTTCAGAATGTGGCGCCCATCCGGGCTCCAGCATGAGGCCACCAGCCCTGCGGACCCCTCGTCAATTTTGCAGTGCCACTCTGGCTGCTCCAGGGACCACACCTGGGTCATGGGAGAGAGAAGGGCACCGCTGCAAACAGGCGCCCCCTCCGAGGGGCTGACGGAGGCAGAGAAACAGTGCCCAACTGCAACTCTCACAGAAAGCCCAGCAAGCCACGGATCCCTCGGCAGTTTCCTTTTGTTGTAGTCTTAATGCTGCCATTGCTGGGACCGCATTTGGGCTTCTGGCCCCTAACAAAACAATGCCTCCCAGGACTCTCCAAAACACAGTGTCCAAGATGCCAGGCTGCTGTGGGAAACAAACTCATTTCTGAGTTTGATTGCATAGAGACTATTTTTGTACTTTCTCCTTTAAAAAGTACTTAGATAAAACAGTAGCAACCATAAGAATTTTAAAGCCATTAAAATCCACACACACGCATGCATACACACACACACACACACACACACACACACCCCAAGAATTGAATTCAGGACCTTTGCGCTTGCCACGCAGGCTTGGCACTGCTGAGCTACATCCCCGGCCCCAAAACCATTAAAATTCTAAGAAGTGACTTTCAAGTTACACGTCCTTTTTCCGCACCAGGAGGGTACAGAACAAAACCCGCCCTTCCTGGTGACCCTGGGAGGGTCGCCCACACTGTGCACCCACCTGCACCAACCCCCGCTTGTACATGGCACACAGGATGAAGAGAGAGTCCGCTGACCACTCCATGTGCTGGACCTGGTCCAGGCACGTGTACAGCTGCAGGATCTGCAGGGTGCTCGCGTCCCGAACAACCAGCCGGTACTGAACACAGGAAGCCTGCGGGGTCACAGGAAAGAAAGCCCTTAGCGCCTTCCACTTTGGGAAGGCCTTCCGCACGCCTGCCCTGATCCAGAGACTGCCTCCCTCCCTGCTGTCCAGAGTGCTTTATATCTGTACAGCTTTATGTCCAGCAGCCATCATACAGCTCATTCCCAAATTAAGATGAGCTAATCAAAGTAAATATACAAACCAGGTAATAATTCTATACCCTACTACCCTCACTGGATCATCACACAGTCATATGTGGCATCACACTCCACACAAATCTGTAAGAAACAAGTTTTATAACATCGAATTGCTATACCCTAGAATAAAGTTCAAGTAGTTTAAAACTATTCCTATGTCTATTCCTTTTTAAACTGTACATTAAAAACTAAACTTAAGTAGAAAACAGCACTAAGAAAAAGCTCTTCTGTGACTAATACCAGATCCTCTCCTAATCCAGTCATGTTTGGACCATTTCCTCAAATTTAAAAAGAGTTCCTCACGGCAGGCATGGTAGCCCATGCCTGTAATCCCAGCGCTTGGGTGGCTAAGGCAGGAGGATCTCTTCCTAGGACATATAGTGAGTTCAAGGCCAGCCTGAACTACACAGCAAGACCCTGTCTCAAAACAAAACAACCAAAACCAAAACCAAAACAAATAGGTCAATAGATGCTCTTCATATCCTGCAGTTGCAAAGATATTTCATAAATGCTTATTTATGTGCATTAACTTATTACAACCAAATAAGAAAAATGGTTATTTTGAATGTATTTTTTGAGATAGTTTCTTTGTGTCCATATCTAAACAAATATTTTCTACACCTGAGTATTCACCTTTTAGGTTATATACTATGCCACAGCCTAAATACCAAGAAATGACTTTTAAGTACTGATTACTTCATTTTTATACTAGCCAAGGACAAACTAGAGGATTAGTTTCTCAATTTCCATCAAAAAAAGAAAGCCACATTCATGTTCCATGGAACAAAGAGGGAACGGAGATTGCAGACAGGAACAAGAAGGTACTGCAGCATTTATTTTTTCACACTGTAGCTTTGAAAACTGTGATCAATCCAATGAATTCCTTACAAAATGGAGTATTCTTAACTAACACCTGAAAGGATGATATGAAATCGAAATTTACTATAAGACACTAAGACTGGAAACAGAGACCTGCTTTATTCAATTCTTAGGACAAGGCCTTCTAGAACACAATTATCCATTACTTCATGAACAGATTATTACCATGTGTTTCACAATATTTTGATGAGAGTATACAAATCAAAAAGCATCAAAATTAGGTAAGCAGATATAACTCCCTCACCCCACCGGCACTTTGGGTTGAGCCCAGGGCCTGGTCCACACTCAGGCACACACCTACCACTGAGACACATCCCC